AACTAGACGATCATTGATCGCTTACGTGGGCTTCCTGTAGATGCGACAATGGGTCAGCTGCCGCCATTGAGCTATAAGTATTTCATTTTCACGATACAGTCTTTGTTTGAAATAAGTCAGGACAACCCTAAGCTATTTACTACATCACAATTTTTTACCGAACTGAACTCTAATTAATTAACTTAAGTACCTTGACTTTCTCAGTTTTCAAAAATAGCTAGCCCGACTTTACGCTCTAAGAGCGTCTAGATTATTCAAAATATGCAAATATTCGAAATATGTAAATTTGACCTGAAAGGTTATGTTATATCATAGTTTCGTAGTAGCTCCAGAGATAATAATAAACAATAGAAACGGTACAGTCTTTGCAGTTTTCTAAGTATTATAACTTTGAGTAATATTTTGATCGTTTGAATGATTCAAGAAGTAGTAAGAGCTTTGAGATCAGCGTTCTAGGGTTGGTTTCCTTCATTTTCTTGATCACATTGCTTTTCTTGGTCACAAACCAGGTCACAGTAGCTATAACGTGACTTAGATATCGCGATAAGACCACGAGGCCGAATGACATACGAAACAATACATGTCATGAATGAAAAGAAAGCGCTGATTGATTTTACTTCGACATCCCCATGGAAACTGAGACTGCAACGCATGCGCTATCGATGCGCTACCAATTTGAAGCGTAATATTCACGACGACCACGACGAAATCGCCAGTTGCATTTTAAGACGTGGACTTCCACAGGAAGCCCACGTAATAATCATTCAATCCAGTGCACTATTTAAAATTTTTAAAGCCCCCCTCTACAATAATTTAATTTACATGACTTGAAATCCCTTTCCAGTCCTCTTGCCCAACTTTGACTGAAGTATATTACAAAAAGTTCCCCGGAGACAAAATTAGTGCATTGAGCACTTCACATTTTAACTGGGGAAGAGGTGGGGTGGGGGGTGCTAGGTAGGGTAGGCTAGGGTATCTGTAAAGGCCGTGTCACACTGGCGTTTTTTTCGTGCAACTTGTGTCGCGCAAAAAAATGTTGAAGTTGCACGAGCGTTTTTTTACGTGTGACACCCCCTCATGCAACTTGAACATTTCATTTTTTTGTTGAGAGAAAAGTAGAACTGGATTCTACTTTTTTCAACATTTTTCGGAAAAACGCGTGTGTGACATGGTCTCTTGCAACTTCCAAAATTTTCAATTAGGTGCACAAACCCAAAAGAAAGCGAGAATCTGTCCTGCTGTCACTTATTGTAATAATCAACAAAGATGCCTGACGCCATCTTTGGCGAAAGCGATAATTTTGAAGCAGAAAACGAGACAGAAAGTGAGATGATCGTACATTTTCAATTTACTCGTGCTACTTGAACATTTTTTTGCGCGAGCTAAGTTGCAACGGAATTTTGCTAGTGTGACATGGCATCGTGCAACTTCAACATTTTTTTTCGCGACACAAGTTGCACGAAAAAAACGCCAGTGTGACACGGCCTTAATGGTGTTTATCTACTTGGTACATAAAACAAATCAATATCATAAACATTTATGAATCATAATTTTACATCGGTGTACATAAATGGAAATTTATAAATAAGCTTCTTTTAACTTAAGTATGGTCCGAGTAAGAAGCAGGCAAGCAAACGGCAATGGAATGCATGAAGGTGCTAATTGTGTATTGTATAATCAATCCATCTCATTGGTTAAAACATGAAAATCTGACATAATTTCAAAAGTAATCGCATTTTTTAATATTTTATTTAATATCTGATTCCGACTTCATAAAAGCTTTCTTAGCTTTAATATTAATAGCAATTCTATGTGGGGAACATAGCAAATTAGAAGCATCTTTTGGTAATTGTTTTGAGTGCTTATGATTGGATCGACAAGATCTTTTAATACAAAAGAAATTTTGTTTCAAAACAGAGTTTATCCACATTTTATTTTAAAAATGTGTTACCTATAGGTTGATATATAATCAGTGTGAAGACCAAGACATTCGTATGTGGGGAAGTTGCAATTGCCGCAGAACAATAGAAAGTTGCCTGCTTTTTGCGCGCATTGTTACTTAATATTAAGTAAGTATAATATGAGAAAGCTACAGTTAACTTATATCATAATTAACAAGCATAGAAAGTTATCCTTAAAAGGATATTTAATCCTGACCTGATCCATCATTTTTGCCTTTTGGTTCATCAAGTACGACACCAATCCATTTCCCTGAAGCAAACTGCGTAGCTCCAACATAAGCCACAGTGCCCTTATAGCCTTTCGCCGCCGTCTCTACTCTCATTCCCACGGCCACATTGACAGTCGCCATAATGGKAGTTCTTCTTTTCCCCCAAATAAAATATTCCTTAGAACTTATTCGTCAATTCTGTCTGGGTAGACATCCACTCAATTCTCTAGACTAGCAATTGAGTGCACCTTTCAAGCTTTTCTTGCCCATGCAGACTCGAAATAATGGAATTTGCAAGCGATAAATCACTTCAATATCTTCACTCCCAAAACAATTTGATCGATTCCATCACGCATGCTCAGTGCTACGTAACCAGGTCAGACGATTCAAGATGGCGGGTGAGTCGTGTTTTGATTGATTAGTTTATTATAATTTTTTTAGATTTTACTGCTTTTTAATGACATAATATATGTTTTATTTTAAAGTTCTAAATTTAGTTTTGTAAAATTTATGTTTTCTATATCTTTTGTAGCTAATAATTTTGCGAGCTGGTGGTTTGCATGATCATCGGGGTGATCATTCGATTGATTCCTAGTTGTTTTATTTCAAGTTATTTAGTTACTATACTCTATAACAAGTTTTAAAGCTTATTTTTGTTTTTCCTTACTCCATAAAATGTACTGTTTTTCTTTTTTTTCGATTCTATAAACTTTATCTGTATTTATAACAAGTTTATATGAACTTACATGTATTAAGTTTAGACCTTTTTGCTTTATCGGTATAATTTTCGAAATCCGTGCACCCTAAAATAAAGGGTGATAATTATTTGCCCGAGAAATGTGGTTTTCTTTGTTACGTCGTACTTATCGGTAAAGTTGGGTAGTATCTACCTTACTGATTTTTTTTCACCCTTATGCTTATCTGAGGTCTTGCCGCTATGAGCAGAAGCAATTTTGGATTTCAGTTTATCATCCAAAATGCTTGTTTGTGAAGATACTGGAGAGGAGCTAGACGCTTTAAGGCTGATTTACAYGGCACGATTGTCTTGTGCGACTTGTAGTATACAACTTGAATCGCGCAGTGTAAATRCCCCTACGACTTGTCTACAAGAGTCGTACGCAACCTACGACTTGTAGTAGGGTTTTGAACCACTGCTTAAAATCCTWCGACTTGTAGTAGGAAAATCGTATACTACAAGTCACGCGTGACAAATCGTACCGTGTAAATCAGCCTTTAGAAACGCTATTTACAGATTTAATAATAAGATCTTTTAATATTGGTTTGTAATAATTCAAATATACTGTTCAAAAAAAATGTACTTTACCTCAGGGAATAAAGAATATTCGTAGATTATAAAGCTTTCTTTCGTCCAAACACCATACAAGTGCTCATTCACCAGGGATTACGCATATCAATATTACATCTTAAACAAAGAAAACCACATTCCAAGGGTGAATAATTATACCCTTTGTTTTAGGGTGCACGGATTTCGAAAATACCGATAGAGCAAAAAGGTCTATTACAACATGTCCACCTCAAAACAGTTCAACCTTATTTAGTAAAATTTTTAACTCTTCAGCYGAGGAGCCAGAAGATGCTGCTCGTAATAGACATCGCCAAAGGCGTGGCCTCCTTAAGATGTATTATGGGGTTGGTGAGGAGGGGGGTAAGACTACGACTATTGACCCATGTGATATCAATGGTGCTCATTTCAAACCTGAGACTTACTTAGAAAAGACTTTTAAAGAAAAATCACTCACAGAACTCATGGATAAAGAAGGGGATATTACGAAACGTAAGTCATGTTTCTTTTTCACTTTTGTAGTTCCTCCWTTACTACGTTTAAATAATACTCATTTTTGGTAATTTTAGCAAAAGAGGGTACCATACCAATTGTCATTATTAGTCATTATTAAAAGGGGCAATAGGAGAATGCACAACCTAAAGTTACTGTGGGCATTGATGATTGATAGCAATATTTGCCATCAAAGGCAGTCAAGGATACATAACTGCTATTTTTATAGAAAGACCCCTTCTATAATGGTTTGTTATTCATCAAAAATTTAATACCAACTGTGACTTTTGGTCACAAAATTGCAGTGACAAGATTTTGAGTGACCTTTTATATTTTTTTAACACTATAAGTGATTGATTGTATGACAGAGATCAGAGCCTTGGATAGTGATATGCAGACWCTTGTTTACGAAAACTACAATAAATTCATCAGTGCAACAGATACTATTAGAAAGGTAATAAAAAGCACATACAGGTGTCAGAACCACAGATGCAACATTACTTTTCCACATTAAAACACATTGTATACTGTGCATCAAATTGCCTGAAAAAGTCTGCATTAGACTGGACATGAACCAGTGACTTATCTCATATTCCAGAGCAAGTGTGCCAACCAATCGTACCATTGAAAAAGCAGTTGATCAAGACTTTTTGAGATACCAGCATTTCATAGCCAGTTATGAGCCCTTGTTCTGAGCTCTTATTGAAATATTCATTTGAATGTGTCCATGCACACATGCATCCAAGAACCTTTCTGTGATTTTCTCATGTATGAAAAATCACCATCTTTGATTTTTGAACCAATAAGAAAGCAACTTTCAACAAGAGACCATTTTCAAAACAAAGACGTGATTTCAGATTTCTTCACAGCCTCCCTTTTTGTTGGGCTTCCTGTCTCTCCCAAAAAGGAAGCCGGACAAAAGGGGAGGCTGCAAAGGAGACTGATACATTCATTAAATCTGTGTGATTTATAGAATTGTGCAAACATGCTTCATCTTTTTGTAGTGAGTCTTATTATGCATTGTACTTAAATGTACAATATTGTTTCTTGCAGATGAAGCATGACTTTAAAAAGATGGAAGATGAAATGACAAAACTCAAAGACAATATGACAGCCATAACAGACTTCAGTGAAAAAATTAGTGGAACTTTACAAGATAAACGACAACAGATCACAAAACTTTCTGGTGTTCACTCACTTCTAACTAAGGTACATAACATATTTTTTTGTGAAAACCCTTTAATCAAGCTATTTCGATGAATGGTGTTAGGTAAGATTGGTATGGGCTTACTGGCCTGATTTTCTGATGATTTATCTACAGTAGGTCTAGCTTCCTCTGCAGGGGSCTCTCTTCCTTTCTGCTTTTTTATGAACAAGGGAGACTGTGACACAACTAAAAAAAGAGGGAAGAGACAGCAACCCCTTCATTCCTTGACAGGGTATAAGGACCCAGCACAGACAAAAGGATACCACAGGGATCCCAAAGGGATCCCAAAGGGGTAGCATGAAGTGTATCCTGCAGAGAAGGGTACAGMAAGTCAGCCAATACAATTTCTATTATGTTTTTTAGCTTCAATTTTTGTTTGAGCTGCCATCAAGACTGAAGAAATGTGTTGAAATGAAGCAATATGGCCTTGCTGTCAGGTATTATATTTTTAAAGTAAAGTATAATGATCATTYTGGAAAATCATTAGGTAGAGGGACTAGAACTTTTTTTGGTGTTTACAGGCAGATTTCTAGACATAGTACAGTAACTATAATGATTTTAGGTGTCGCTGTATAAGAGAGCTGTAGGTTTAGTATTTATACAGCCAGCTTTGTTAATACAGCAAACTGAAACAAGCTGGGTTTTTTTTCTCAGTTTACTTCCAATCATTRAAAAGCCTGACTGTAAATACTTTACCCATCATACCGGTAGCTCTTTACTTAATATCATTTCACATTATTTCTTTTAATTTTGATAGTWTTAATCCTTTGTTAGATACTACACTAAAGCAAGGGATGTCCTTCATCAATACAGTCACATGCCATCATTTTATGGCATCCATCAAGATTGTGATGAGATAGTAAAGGAGCTGATTGTGAAACTGAGAGAACAGCTAAGAAATCCAAAGGTAAGCATTTGAAGGACATTATTTTTGCATAACAATTCTGAAAATAATTTTGTTAGTAGATATTCAAAAATATTTTTTYGTTTTGCTTGTTAGTCAACACCAAAGCAGTTGGCTGAGTGTGTGGATTTACTGCTACAACTTCGTGAACCTGCTGATGAGTTATGTGATGAGTTCATCATGCAGTAAGTGGTCTATTTTAGAGTTGAAATGGAAAATRTGAACAATACAAGTTCATTTTGTCAACAGATAATAATTTACCACTACTGATATGTATAATTTTCTTGGTAGTTCACCTATTGTATGTTTTGCTCACTGCACTAATGAGTATTGAACACTGTTCAACTGGCTAATTTGCTTGGTAGAGTGGTTCTCATTAACCCGTGAAATACACTTTAGCGTATTACACTTTATTACACTTTGTCTCTTTTGTTTTCTATTATATTCTTGGCTATTACACTTTATTACACTTTGACTATTACACTTTGTTTCACGGGTTAATGAGAACCACTCAAGTACATTTTTATCAATCTATAAACAATCAAACGCTTTTTGATTTTAGAGCCAGAGAAAGACTAGATGAGAACCTCAGAGTTTTAAAGGCGCAAGTGGAACTAAAGAAAATTGAAATSACTCCCAAAGAAGGTATCATAAAACTTAAATATTCTTGAAGCTTTCATTTTGTAATTGATGTCATATATCATCAAGTACTTGTAATGTCTAATGCTTTTTCAAGTTCAAAGGGACTGCCATTGTTTTGTCTTGATAGTCATGTTCCTTAATAGTGATCAAAGGCCTTATTTAGAAMAAAKAGCCAACWCAATTCAAAATCACAGAAATATCACCTCAGACAGYAGCCATCTTGGCCTTCATTKTATGCTTCTTTCTATCATACTGTGSTCAACAAATAACTTATTAGTTTTTGTAATACTGTCTTCACTTTTAGTAGATTGCATAGCCAGGCATTCCTAGCCGMTCCCAGAGAGTTTGGACTGGAGAGACTATGCCTGGCTAYGCATGCTACACTTTTAGACTCWATCTTTACCTTTACATAAATTGATATTTTGTTTATCAGAACCGAGTGATGCTTCTTTTGATGAAAGGCAGCAACGACCTATGGTAAGGCTGTAGTTAAGCCAGAATAATTATACTCTGTAAAAACAAGTGGAAAATAAAATTCAGTTCTTACTCCAATCGCACTTTCAATGTTTTGATAAACTATCATGATGAAATGAAAATTAATTTCAAAATGACATTCTCTTCTTGAAGAACATTGTTGATTGTCCTCATTTTCATTCCTGAGGAGGAAGTCAGTAGAAAGCCCAGTCACTATACATCATAGTTAGTAACTCTATTAACTATTATTTCACGGTTGTTTAACTTTCTTCTTAGAAAAAATACATAAAAACATAYATGTAATGTAAGTTTTATTTGTTTACAGGATTTCCTTGAATTCATTGATTGTGGCTGCAATGGATTTTTGAGTACAGTTTGCCTAGTAATAGCATCTTACAAAGAACAGTTTGTAGAACGACAAATGGCAGAGTAAGTCKTATTTGGGAAACACAAGAACATTATCTAACTTTGCTTTACAATGATCACAAGATTGAGTACGAGTTGAAACTTTTGTCTTGTGAAAACCAAATCAACAGCTTTGTTTAACACCTATAGGAAAGGGGAGCTGGCTTTCCAAAAAAAAACCTTTTTTGCATACAACACTTGCAAGTTTGTCTACGTTCTCTTATTACCTTGCAGCACTGTTTTCACTGTAAGTGTATTTTTCTTTGAACAGCTAATTGTATACATGCATCAGGAGTTTCGGAGAACAATGCGTCCGCCATCTTGAAAAGTGAGACTCAAATCACTAAATTATAACTCCTAAAGAAATTAAAAAGTTCTAAGTTAATTTAAATTTAATATATTATACGTTATGATGATAGATTAGTTGACTAAGCAACTATGAAATTTGTTCTAAGGCAAAACGGTGATTCAGGGCCCACTTTTCAAGATGGCGGACACATTGTTCTCTGAAACTCCTGATGCATGTATCACAACGATGTTGCAAAAACTCTAAGGGATTCGAGAAAATTGCACAGTTGTAACAACACAAACACTTAGAAAATTAGAAAAAATAGAAAAAATCTGAAAACGGTTGTAATCAACGGTATCCTGTTAAATTGTTCCTTTGAGCATTCCTGGAGTTTACAGTATATAGTAAAGGCCCATTTAATAGCATGAATTTATTTAGGTAGAAACATTTTGAGTCAATTCATTGTTTAYTTTCAGTCACGTTACAGACCCAGAGGAGCTTGAGAAAGTTGTTTCGCAAAAGCTGTCRAGTTTTATGCAGAAGCTTATGGGAGAATATTTTAAAATTACAGAATCAAGAATTGAACTTGAGGTACGTAGTAAACACGTTCAACCTTGATCAATTGAAAAGCTTATTCGATAGTTGATATTTACACCCGTAAGACTCAAAAATCATCAWAAGTTTGCACAGAACTATKAAAGGAGAGCATCTTTAGTTTGTCATCTTTAGTTATTCGTTTTTCAATGGATAACTCTTRTTGGAAATTTGCACTTGTTTCTGTTGTAGTAACAGYTTTTCATAWACTGTTTCAYTTCGAATTTCGGGACAAGCGTAAAATKGACTGTTCCATGTGGGACAAAAGCACGAATTCCTGAGCATGTTCAGTACTAACCCCTCTTATATTATCCCAGACTGATACMGGCAATAATGTTCTTCTTGTGAGAGCGCTGGATCGATTCCATCGTCGTCTTCAAGCTGTACACAAACTTCTTCCAGACATCGGCTCAGGCAGGTTAGTGGGAAAAAAATAAKGCATCTAATTTCTGCTGTTATAAAAAGGTAAGTTCCAAATCTAGCTTCTTGTTTAGCTACTGTGTTATTCAAGCAAAACGTCATGATTGAAATGAAAGAGAGAGAGAGAGAAAAGAGAATGGCAGTTTAAAGGAAGGAAAAAAAATGAAAAAATATAATAAATGAAAAGATTTTCAGAAAAGCGACACTATGACAGATCGTGGTTTGTAAACCGATATCTTAAACTGTCTTGTATGTTAATAAAATCCCTTTTTCGAAATTCAAAAGTCATGTATTTTACAGGCTGGGAGCCAATATCATCGCACGTGCTGCACATAATCGAGTGATATTTTATACCCAAAACCTTCGTCAACAATTTGCAGGTAGGATAAACWAAGCAGACGTTACAGACGTTAAGGAAATTATTTAGTCTCCATCAATGTCATTTATAAATCATTCAACAGTACTTTCTACATTCTATCTTTTTGTGGTGTACAGTTTGTCTCACTGATACTCGCCAAGACTTGGCTGCTTTACCGCGACAAACAGGGAAGGATAAAAACAATGTGCTATCAGATCTTTTAACACAAACTAGCAATGCCATCTTGGATCAAGTTAAAACTGTACTTAACTGTCTAAAAGTGAGTAAAAGTTTATTGTAATAACGGCTACTAACACTAAATTGTGGACTCAAAACAGAGTTTAACATCTTTTTGTGAATTATGATTGAGAGTGTTTCAAATCTGTTTAGAAATGTTTATTTGTTTTATCGTGTCGTTGTAGGCATTTATTGGTCCAGACATCACATTCTCCGTCAAACCATACTTCAGAGGTCCGTTTTGTGCTGATGACGTCAGGGAAGGTTTGGTTGTGGATTTTATACGTCATGTATTACAAACTGCAAAGGTACAAATGCTTAGCTATGTATTGCGTTTTGCGTAACTTGTAAGTAAGCTGTGGCCCGTAAATCAGCATTTTATGACAAGTCCTTTGCTAAGTATTAAGTGACTTTATAGTTTTGACACGAAAATAACCTTTTTATGACCACTTGTACACATATCAAGTTATTTGTGTTACACAAAAGCAAATTTGAGTGTTAAACATGACACCTGGCACATCGATCAGCATTATCGTCTCTTCATGTTTCCAGGAACTATGTGACAAAGTGAGTTCTCCACCACCGTCACTTGTCCTTCTTCTATCTCGACTTTGTACGGACTTCCACGAGTCGACCATTACTTACGTGGTATGTATGAATGGGATAAAATGGAATACTCCAGTTTCGAATTTTCTTTTGTGCAAGCTTAGCTTCAATCAAGCATATATGTTTATTGCCTTCTTGTACACAGTGTTTGCATCTCAATAAATGAATAATAAGAATTCGATGTTTCGGGTGCACAAATAAGATCTCGAACATGGAGTATTGATAGAAACGACAAGAGAAGTGAGAATATGAAGAAGAAAGGGAAAATAAAATAAAAGTGCAATCAAGTAAACGACATTTAAAGTTAAAATCGTATATTGTAGGAAAAAAATTGGTGGGAACTAGAGGTAAACTAGTGTGAGCTGCGTCGGTGTTTCTAAAGAAACAACTTTGTAAAAAGATAAATTTAACACCCTAAAAAAATAGGTGAAATAACTTACTGACGTTTCGGACGTTATTCCTTTGTCGGAGTAAAGAGATGGAACTAGGCTAAGTGTGAGTGTATATARTAAGAGGAGCAAAGCAAAGCAAGTTATTGCAAGGAAAGAATAATGTGTGGAATAGTTTTCAGTTCTGGGATGCATTTAATTTTATGTTGTATTTCATCTTAGAGTACAAACACTAAAACTGTGCAAGATAAATACCACTAAATACTGCTAAATTATGCTAATTCTATTGTTTTCTATAATTGTTTAATTAACACTATTTTGTAGTAAATAGTGGAAAGTGTTGCACACAATTAATGTTTGTTCTCTATCATACTATGATTTAAGTTAAGTCATACGGATGGCCAATTTCCAATTGACCAAGAACTTCATCGAGGCTGTGTTAGAACACCAGTTGCTGACCTGATAGCTGAGGCAAGAACTATAGCTCAGGTTAGTACATTATTATTAGCTTGTGCTAGTGATTTAAGTGTAGGATAGTCAGTATTTTTCTTGTGTTATTTCAGTTCATTTGACCGCGAAATATTCGTTCGCCAAAATGCTTGAAGCACACTCTAAATCTATTGTTTTCTTTTGTTCTTTGCTAWCAGATACTAAATAGTGATTTTCATTGCACGTTCAAACAAAACGACATCTGTCTCTTTCTGTTCTACTGCCTCTTTACTCATCATGTTATATTCATTTTTATCTCTGTGGCTTTATAGGACCTACTTAATCATTATGTGAAGATTCAAGGTCTTGTTATCTCTCAGGTTTGTTAGAGATCTATACAACACGGCCGCTCATGTTGTAAACATTACCTACAACAGCATTTTGTATTGCGAAAAACCTTCAGTTTTGTAGATTTTTCTCGTAATGTTAAATAAAGATTAACAATGATTTATTAAATCTATATAGCGCTATCAACTAATACTAACAAAATTCTAGTTAAATTGTCGAAATGTTGCTAATTATCAGTCCACTCAACATCTTTTATCAAAATTGATATTAATAAATGTAATACATAAAACCAATAAAACAGTATATATCATTCTTTTAGATGATAAGAAAGAGTGTCGATACACGTGACTGGTTGAATACTATTGAACCCCGGAACGTACGAGCTGTAATGAAAAGAATTGTTGAAGATATCACAGCCATGGACACGCAAGTTGGTCAGCTGTACGAGGAGGGCGCAAGGAAAGCCCATAGCTCAGGTTAGWCGCCTCTCACAAACCCCTTATTCATAAAAAAAACTATAATTGTTGATAAAACCTAATTCTGTTCAACAGATTCAAGCAAATTCACTTACACGTACTCTAATCAGACAAAACAGAATCGTACACAATTTAGCTACACAGCGAGGTAAGGTTCTCCCTACAATTTACTCTGATAGTGCACAGCAGATACGATTGCCCGTTYCGAAATTCAAAAAGGGATTGGTRACTAGTCACAAACTCGATACCGTTCGAAGCAATCAAAAAACAGACACCAGGACAAGARAGAGCATACTAAAATTAGTAAAGCTTCTGAGGTTGAGTGTATTCGGATTAATAATTACAGCGTTTTAAGCGTTTAAAACTSGCAAAAATTAYAAACAATGTATGGAGGTTTTGAGCAGCATCCCCAAAAACCATACATTCTCTCTGATTTTAACAAATTTTTGAAATTCCTACTYGGTGAGTATTCAACCAAATATATTCAAACTTGACAAGAACCCTTATTTTAGTGTGGTCTTTCATGTGGTGGGGTTCAGTTTTCGATGAATGTAATATTTTCACACTCGTTCCCAGTCTCTTTTTTAATTTCGGAATGGCCAATTGCTATTCACCTTTACTTCAATTGCGTTATGACTAGGTTACGATAACATTAACATACTGTTTCTTCCTAGCACCGGCTTTGATTCCAGCCTTCTCAGCAACATACAGAAACTGTTCTCAGAAAAGATTGAAATCTTCAGTCCGGTAGAGTTCTCCAAAGTGTCTGTCCTCACTGGAATCGTCAAAATAGCCCTCAAGGTCAGTATTAGTAGTCACTTATGTTTTCTATGACCATTTCAYTGATAGAAGGCTTGTTTACATTTTGATTAACATGTAAATATTTTTAAAGTCACTGCTTTGACACTTTATATATGGAATGAAGAGAGTCTTTTTTACAGCAAAGCATGATGGTATATATAGCCTCCGCGCTTTTTCACGTCCGTTTTCGTTTACTTGCATCTGTGCAGCAAATACAAAAACTTTGGTTGCTATTTTAGCGGGCACATAATTCACGATATACAGTATACCACAATGCTCTGCGTATTCTCTTTGGGTTCACAATTTTAATCCCTTTAGAGATAGGTAAAACAAGCAAAGCATTCTGGTCTTGATAAAAGTGAATGTGGGCCTCACATGACTTGTCAGTTCATTACACCACTTCCGATATTTTTTTCTAAATTTTAAATAAGTATTGACATGTTACAAATGTTACTATTATTTACGATTCCGAGTTTTTGGTTTACTAATCATGCACAAAATAATTAAAGATGAGACTCAGAGGAAATAATAGTTGACTCTTTTGTCTCCCCGGAGCYTCGTCTCCAATTCTTTTTGTGACCAGTCCACCAGAATGTATAGTAAATTGGYTATTGTTCAATWTATTGTATTTTTTAGACTCTATTAGAGTGTGTCAGGCTTCGCACATTTGGTAAATACGGTTTGCAGCAGATCCAGGTGGATACTCACTATCTTCAGCTGTATCTGTGGCGGTTTGTTTCCGATGAAAACCTTGTTCACTTTCTGCTGGATGAGGTCGTCAACAGCGCTGTTAACAGGAGCGTCGAACCAGAATTAATGGAACCGAGTATTGTTGAAGTGATCTGTGATCGGGGATAACAGTAAAAGGAATATAGAGAGTATCCTTATTATTATATTATTATTATTAGTATTAGTATCGAATAGAAAAAAAAACATCACCATGGAGGGACAAGAAATAAATGCTAGCACAAAAGACAGCCTTTCTGCACGAAAACTTTTCAGTTGTAATGCTGCTTTTAAAACTGAGAATAGCCTCAATTACATGGTTTCTATTTCAATGGAAGGTTAAGAATTTAACAGAAATCACGAACAATATGATAAATCAATGTATATAATACCATAAATCAGATATCAAAATTTAATAAAAATCCAATACTGTTTTTCTCCGTTTCTTTGCATGTGTGATGAGAGGACGGTTTCTTMAACTGCTGACTTCCACTTTTATATCGAATATTGTCYCTGTTATCAACCCAGGTTCGCCCACACTCAAGGAAATTKATTTCGATTTCATAGCTTTTGTAACACGACCTAACAGACGACAAGAGTTCGGTGCGRGGAATTACATACAGCTGTGGCGTCCAGCTCACTTCTCATGATACACAGCCTGCATTTTCTACTGTTAGATAGATCGTGCGTATCCGGCCTAAAAAAATACGARGACATTTTGTCACTAAATCTGAAAAGATTGAAGCAGATTTGCGATAAGCRACGCGTCACTAGAAACGCCCTTAAGGTATCGAAAGGTATCATGGGATGTTGATGCMTTCCCTTCTCATATTTCCCTGTTCCATGTTTAAATCTAATCAAACATGTTTTGTATCATATTTTTTYGTTAYATTTATGAAATAWCGTAAGCAACAATGACCTCAAAAGGGAGCAATTCATCTCCCAAAAAACCCACGGACGCAGAATCTATATATGCTGTCTTCGTAACATAWWCATGAAATTTTAAGWTATACCAGATAGCAGAAAGAGATAGAACATCGATCACAGACGAGCAGAAAACTGTTAAACTGTCGGAATTGTTTGTATTTTGTAAGTGCCATGACATGATATTTATTGCATATTACGGTTTCTTTATTGGATTAGACTATACTTTATACTATAGCAAAAGACCTCTTTCTACCTCTTGATGTAACGGCCTTCATCAGGAGGACAAAACAAACAGATTTTTGCTCTCTTTGGAACTAGAAATCCCATGTTGTACTTCATTCCCATGAACTGCAACTCTACACTTCAAGTGCACCGGCTCTAGAAACGTTTTGCTTAACTGCATCATTTTTTTAAGAATTCTTTTTTATTTGGCACTTCCTGTCTAAAATTAGACAGGAAATCAAAATTTTTAATCAAGTAAGATGAATAAAAAGTCATCCTCGGGAACCCAGCTGTTGACGCCGGAAGTATCGTGAAGACTCTTGAAAGTRCAGTTAGAGCCGATTTCGTATGATTGTGCAACGGCTCGCAACGGCACGGATCGCGGCACGGACACGGCACGGTCACGGAACCTCGCCTTCTAGGATTCCAAATAGAAATAAAGATTTAACAATACATCACCGCTAAGGCACGGTACGGTCACAGCGCGAAAGTATCGTGTTTTTTGCACAGTCATACGAAATCCGCTCTATGGGTGGAGCCACACCATGCACAACGTGAAGCAATTCTTGCGTATTCTATTTCACTTTATGCTCTCAGCTTGGACTTACAAACTGTCATGTAACATAAAATTAGTTTCATTGTCTCTTGTTCGATGTTTATGTTATATATTTAGATTTCTTTTTTTCTTGTTAATGGCAGATTATTTCTGCCCTAAGGATTCTCTAAGATCAAATATTAATATAAGCGTGTTGAAGCACAATTTTTTCAGTACCAAGCTTTTCTACATTTCCATTCAGTGAGACCTAAAGACAAAGAGTCATTTGCATAATATATATAGTGTTTTTAAAATTCCCAGTAAGAGTTGAAATTTTTAAACTTTACATACATTTTAAATGGGGAATTAAATGTTATTGACATTGTACAGAAGTTTTAGAAATTAAAAACACGATATATGTGTTATTTAACATGAAATAGATCTCATTTTTCCGTGCGTGTGTACTCTAATAGATACACAGATGACGTCAAAATGTAGTGAGAACAAAAAAGTACGCACGAGACGCAGTCGAGTGCGTGACTGTTGTTCTCACTACATTTTGACGTCATCTGTGTATCTATTAGAGTACACACGCACGGAAAAATGAGATCTATCTATTTTATACGTAATCCGTGTATCTATACTTTGATAACACACGAAAGCCAACCAATCAAAACGTCTGATTTTATTGAAAAGTTGTATAAACTGTCTTTACAAGTGAACAACATGGATGGGATTGACTTTGTATTGATYGGTCAGTATCGTGACCAGGCGAACTRATACTATGGCAAATATTGAGTGTGCTTAAATTGCAGAGCCAAACCTYTGAAAATAGCAGTGCTTTCTTTTTGCTGCGATTTGATTTTATGTTTTTATTTAAAAAAGGTAAAGCCGGGATAAGTGACCCTCATGCATTTCTTCTAATGCMTGCATGTGAGTTGTCTAAGTTGCACAGATCAATCAACTTACACAGAGATTTCTTGAGATTTTTCATKTCAGTGATATTTTTATGCAACGAACAAGACATTAAATAAAACAAAAAAATGGGAATATTTATTTATTGTTAGCTTGCCCTTGACCTTAGTTCAAATTTTCTTAATCGAAGTCACCAATTTCTTTAATTCGTGAGGCCGCTTCTTACACAGGAAGTTCATTCTCCACAGACATGTTCAGACACGTYACATGACGWCAAGAGACGTCATGTGTCTAAAATTCAMTTWGACATCACATATAAATAGGCGCACGAACTCAAAACTCACACGGCATCAGCCTATTCGCTAGAGAAGAACCAACGACTAGAAAAGCCATGGGACTCCTGATGAAATCCTTTCTCGTGCTCTGCATCGTGTGTTTCTGTCGAGGAGATGACATTCATGCCGGTGATTCATTCACTTTAAAGAGACTTCACCTGACGGACGAGGCCGTGTTGGGATTGCTAAGAAGAGTTGAAACCCTCGAAAGTGGACGATCTAATGTGTGCGCAGTACAAGGTATGAAGTATAATGCAGGTGAATTGATAGGCTGCTTGTACTGATTTGTACCCTGGGAACCAGAGGCTGGATTTACTCGTTCTTATAGTTTATATACGGCGCGAAGCGCCGTCCTTGAGGCCGAAGGCCGAACCGTAAACCAGCCTCTGGCGGCNGAACTGATAAAATCAAACGTGGTAGACTAAATGTCGCTAAGTGATATCATGATATCTAATTCGTTTTTAATTCAAATTGTTGACCTCTCAAGCCAAGAAAATAAATCTTAAAAGTCGCCTTGTTATTGATAAACAAAGTTTCTTCTTGTTCTATTTTGAAATCTTTGCCCAAACAAGACTGTATAAGGCTAGAATTCAGTTTCGTAAGCATACTACTCGAAGCTCCATGCGATCAGCACATGCGCGTACTTCTGATGGCTAGACTGATGCATGCCGATGAGATCACAGAAACCACATTTGTAAACGAATAGTTTTTTATCACATAAAAGCGCAAGTAGCATTTAACATTTACACATTTCCTAACGATATTCGTACATCTATAATTGCCCGTTCCCAAAAGGGACTGGTGACTAGTCACCAACTCGATACCGTTTGAAGCAATCAAAAAATAGACAACAGGGCAAGAAAGAGCATACTAAAATTAGTAAAGCTTCTGAGTTTGAGAGTATTCGGATTAATAATTATAGAGTTTCAAGCGTTTAAAAGTCGAAAAAATTACAAAGAATGTATGGAGGCTTCCCCAAAAACCATACATTCTCTCTTATTTTTACAAATTTGAAAAAATTCCTACTCGGTGAGTATTCAACCAAATATGCTCAAACTTGACAAGAACACTTATTTTAGTGTGGTGTTTCTTGTGGCGAGGTTCAGTTTTCGACGAATGTAACATTTTCACACTCGTTCCCAGTCTCCTTTTGAATTTTGGAATGGCCAATACATTTGAGCTTCCGGCCATGTAATAACACAGCAAACMCAATAGTTAATTTTTAAATTCTTAACTTCCGGTGGTCCAAACGCGACAAAATACACAGATAGATAGATWGATTGATTGCTAAAAGGTAAAACGCAAGTCGACCTAGCCTTCGGCTAGTCCGACTAATTATGTAAATATTTGATTTCTTTTCTATACATTCATATATATTGAATTCGTAAATAGAGTATTCGTTACACGCTAGCATTTTTTGGGCATTGCGTGGTTGGCTTAGTATCCTTGGCTTGCATTAGTCATCCAAATTAAACAATTTCCACAGACCGACCTTTTTAACGTCAAATGCCGGAGGGGGGGGGCGTAGGGGGGTGGATTGTATGAATCTCCGATAAGTTCCCCCTCTGCCATCAATGAACATTTCAAGGCTTCATTATCTTGTAGGTTGGTGTGTTGTGTTCGACTTTGAATCTGGCGTGACTGGATGGACCACGAGTGGCAAAGCCTTCAACAATCAGCCAACAWGGGGAGATAATCCCACAGCCAGAAAAAGAGGACAGCCATCAAAGCACAGRGGAGATTGGTGGATTGGAACATATGAAAATCGTCCAAGTGAAGCCCATAAGCCTGGAGCGGTRCAAGGTGACGGTCCCAAAGGAACTATGACGTCACCATCCTTTGTGATCAAGGGAGACAAGATGAGGTTCTTGATTGGCGGAGGCTGTAACATGGCAACTGAACGTGTGGAGCTGGTGGTCGATGGAAAAGCTGTTGCCAAGGCGACTGGGAAGTGCAATGAAACATTGGCACCCCATGTTTGGAGTCTCGACAAGTCCTTAAAGGGAAAAACAGCCCGCCTGCGATTGGTTGACAATAGCAGTAGTGGTTGGCGTCATATCAACTTCGATCACTTTGAAATGTTTGTTAGCGATTAATCCCAAACGACTGCGAACTGAACTTTTAAGGATTCATGCCCCCAATCACAAAAACAGCCTTTTTTCAAATTTTTAAACTGAATTGTACTTTATCAATTCAAAATAACTTTTGCTGAGCTATACAAACAGTCACAGAAACCGAATCTATTCGTACAGCTATTTCAAGAAACGTTGTAAGGGAGAGACTATAGTTAGACTATTTTGACAAACAAAATTTCACTTATTGTAGTCACCTTGCATAGAAATGGAGATTAAATGCAGCCAATGTTTACCACACACTTACTGTATAAACAAAATTGTTATTTCTCGTCAATTAGCAAAACCAATGGCTACTTTCGGTCAYACAATCGCAGTTCGAAAATTGACATCGCCATTTTATCMRACCGCGSCCTTTMTTGAAATGGGTATATACTTTTTGCCGGACATTTTTCTAATAACAGGACATGATTATTTAGAGCGAAAATAGTCTATGGAAGAGAGAAAAACGTCTATGTAGTAATCAGGACATTAATGTTCACTTTACTATCCATTGGTCTGTCCATGCTTCCTTCATTAGGCCTGGCTCAGGGTTCAGAAGTCGATCTTTCCCCTCGTCTAATCTAATTGCTTGTGTTTAGTTCGCGAAAAGTTCTATGTGCATATAAATTGATATTTTTAAGTGTCAATTTGACAACAAATAAACAAAATCCACAAATCATGYCAATAAATTTTTGGTGCGAACTGTCCATTAAATGYACGTCAGCAATTAGACCAAACATTGGGGTCTATACTAGGCTTAGCTGTGATTATCTGGACCTTTTATCATGTTGATSAGAAGAATTGAGGAATGCTGTTTTTMCTTTTTTTATTTTCAGATGTTTAATTTAACTTGCTTTAAATTTGTTCATTCTCTACGCCAGACAAATACAGTCGACCCACACTAAGCGCCAAAAAACGAAGTCCTGATTGGTCGTTTGCCATTTTCAGCGCTCGATTTGAGGCGCGACTGTTTAGCAGTCTACTTCGATTCACATGCATGTAATGAACATATATATCCATGAGTGTTATAATTAGCCATTTCAAGTGCTCGATTATTTAGATCCTTTAAAAAAATCCTTAATACTTAATGATTAATTAATTGACTTAACTAACTAAAATTTTGAAGCGATCTCTCTACTAAATCCTTATTATTCACCTTAGAGTAAAAAACAGTTGCGTTCTTTCTTTGATCTGTATACTCGTCAGATGCCTGTTCTCAGTCAATTGTATCCGCGCGTTACATACCCGGATATATCAAATGCTCTGTTCACTTATCGTTTTATGTCCGGGTAAGTAGCGGGTAGGTCTTGACGTTCGTATACAGCGCATATATTTTCTTATCCGGATAATAAAATTCCGGAAGAAAAAATCTCTGGACTCGTATTGACGGGGACGTAAGTGTTTCAGTAGGTGCTTTTGGAATTAGGTGTCCTGACCCATAGTGAGCCGTTCAAAAACAGTAAATGACTCGGGACAGCGGAGAAAAAAAAACATCTAAAATAATACCCAATACAGACATAACTGTAATCGATGATAATGTCATTCGTACATCACCAATCAGCATAGAGCAATGAGGTGTATTCCAAATTTGGCAAGCATTTTTCTATCAGAATATAGCATTTTCAGTGTCTAGTTCAGTTAATTACTAATCATATTATTCCACATTGATAATATTCAACGTCGCGGAATGGAATTGACCAGAATTTGAAGAGCACACTCTCCTGGAAGTCGCTTTTATTCAGGGTGAATTAAAAGCCGGTCTTTGCAACATGCCAGAGTTTTTATATATTATATAGACACTAATTAGCCAATCACGGCACTCACAGAATTGTTTTACCAACAATTCCTTGCGGGTTAGAGCGCAATTTCGCAAAGTAACAGCACCAAAGAAACTTTTCTTGACACAGTTTTAAGTCAAAATTGGCGTATTTGCATATTGACATGAATATTCCAAGTCTCTGTGTTGCTCATGTTTAACTGTTCTCTTGGTGCTACGTATTCGCCATCTTGTCACTCTTGTCACGCATACTTCAGTCAGGTACCACGATGCATTGGAAGTATTCCTCTTTTCATATAAACATTATAAAAAAGTAATTGGCATCCAGCTGATTCGCATTATCGAGTAGTCACAGGTATATATATAGCAATAATACATTTTTTGCAGATCTTTTTGAGATTTCAGTAACTCCCACTACCGCAAGGCTGTAGTTCCGGTATAGGGATATAGTTTCTTAGCAAAATAGGTCCTTTTTTCCTTTGACCTGAGTTTTTTGAAGTTTGACAGTAGTCTTCAAGTATTCCTAACAGGYAAATTGCATTTCAAAGGAGCTTTTACCATTAGGTTTTTTCAATATTTTCCCTTTGGCTTTTCTTAGTTCCCCATGGTGGATTTGAATTCAGTTTTTTAGTGAATAAGACCATTCATATATCAAAGCTGTCGTTTTACATTGTAAATGTGATAATAATGAGTAAAAGGAAATGATTTTCTGCGCTCAGAAAAGTTGAAAATCCGTCAATGGATGATTGATGTAATATATCCAGTAAGCAATCGTAAATGAGAAATAGCAAAATGGGAAAAGTACTCGRGCTGTGCGATCAATCCAATGAACATCCAAATATGGCAATTGTTTCTTATCTTTCGCTTTTACTGGCTTTGAACTCAGGCATGTTTTGAATTTTGAAGTAGTTGATTGACGGCCGTTGCCAGTCTTGTCCATCATTGTCACGATRGTATCTGGAGTATGGTCCTTAAAGAAAGCAAAGAAAGAAATATAAATCACATATCAGGGATTTACAAAGGTTGTCAGTTTTCCCCATGTTACAGTAGAAATCGTCGCATCGCGAACTCTTCGACTCGAAGTTTATTTTGATTTTAATATTTCTGGTATAACGCTTAGGGGCGGAGTTTTTCCGACACAAATCCCAACGATTTCTTTTGAACTTCTAAGTCGTGATACAACGGTTTATCCGCGGTTAGCGAAACGATTCACCATTCGAACAAGATAAAAACACAGCATATAAACAGAAAACTGCACGTGAACACGCGTTTCTTAAGGGTCCAAGGCATATAGTTTAAGTAGAACTACGAGAAACAAGTTAAAAATTGATAAACCTTCTCGTAGTCCTCTATACTGTAATGCTCCGTGGATAATCATTTCTGTTGTATTGCGTGATTTTTCTGTTCTTTTTCCCCTTTATGTTTATGTCTCTTGCATTGACTTTTTTATACACATGGTGAGCAAAGCATTTATTTTCGATCATTGCCTCGCTGCAGATGCTTGATTGGCATTTTGAAGTAAGGAGGAAAGTATAAAGTATTAGAATAAAGCTCAGGATGGTCCCGTTACTTGCATGCGCATCTGTTATCAATGGGAACCCTAAAAAAGTCACTTAAGGCAAAGAGAAAGTCACTTAAAAATGGGCGATTAGACTAGTACGATAAATGTTGTCAGTACCTTGCCAGTGTCGTTTCTAAGAGGTTGTCGTTCACGGGGAATTTCATCATCTTCTCTATGTTCTTTCCTTAAGTTCGGATGGATATTTAGCACAATAACATATTCAAGCAATGTCATGAAGATAAAGCCAAGTGACGTCATCAGGTAGTAGTCGAGAGCCTTGGAATAACTCACTTTAGGCATACTGGCATTGACAGTACTCGTTAACAGGATTGTGCTTAGAATGGTGGTGATGCTGAAATAATAATKAACTGGTCATCAACAACTTCATGTATTGCTTAAACAGTCCTAAGTCATAAGTCTTTTTCGCGTGCTTGCTTTTCGAGAAGTTCAAGGAGTGGCAATGTTTTTCAGGGATGGATCCAGGATTTACAGGTAGGTGTGCACGGTGCACTTGAGCTAGAAGACAAGGGAATGCACATCTGTGCATTTAAATTGTACAGTTGACGGATTTAAAATGCACTTACCTGAGAGTGACCCTGGCGGGGACAGCATTGCGATGGATCCAGAAGGTACACCACGATAGAATAACTAATATCATGGCAGGCATGTACGTAGCAGTAATGAAGAAAGAAACACGACGCTTGAATACAAACTCAGCACGAAGACTTGCAAAGGAACCTTACAAAATTAAATAGCAAAATGAGAAACGGCTTCGGGATTTTTAACGATTAAGACTGACTACTCTTCAAACAACATATCTTATGTAYATCTTATATACCTTTGCTATTAGCTTGTTCTTTGGTAGTTGTGTTTGCACCCATGAACTCAAACTGTGCCATTTCCTTTGACACTATTTCAATGCCTTGATCTTTTCCTCCTTTCCATTTGTAGTCCACATCAGATCTTGTGTGTGCATCTGAAATGTAGTTTTAAATTACATTCATGAGAACGTTTCAGTCAACGTTTACCAATTTAAGTCAATATGTTTGACAGCGAAGAACGAAGTTAAACCCGATTCTGTCAAATTTAAAAATTAAATACGCTATAATTTTAACCTTTGAAAAAAATGAGTTTGAATCATGATGGTTTTCAGGCCGAATTGAACGATACAACTTTTGCCTACATTAATCGCATGCAGCATGCTAACATGAGCCGTCACCCTCAACATTGCGACGCATTTGTCRTAGCGACATCAAACAATGACTTTGAATCTCTACGACCATGGCGACAATTGTAGCCATATTGATTCAAGACACTTGGGCAGGTTGCATGGGATTGTTGTAGCCAAACGTTGTGTCATCTCATTCTACYTTTCAAATCATGATATGATACTTACAGCTTTCTATGATAAGAGGGCAATATTGAATATCCATAGGATACAGACGTAAATTCATATCACATTGTGCACTTATTGTTATCCTGTTTARAGAGAAAAGTACTCCACATCAATGCCTTCTTTCCGAGTAAAGTTCTTCATTCATTGAATAAATGTTGACTGATAGATTTGATCTTAACACTCCGGGTAACACTCCCACAGCAGAAGCGATCCAGGAGGGACTAAGCCTAAATATTGCAGGGCCGTAGACAGAACGGATAAACGAGGCAAGCGACCGCCGAAGGTGGGAGGAATTAGGGGGGCTTGCGAACATTCTACCCCTGGGAAATTTSAAATTCAGTCTCTCGGAAATGCGATTTCAAATGCAAGTTGCAGCGTTTTGGGCCTTTTGATAACTCTTTATTGAACAGATTTAACCGGAATTTATCATGTAATATTTATGAAACAAAGAAGCTATACGTACAAGATTAATATTTACTTTACGAATATGTTTTTCACAAAATCAGTAGTACGAAATCGGCTCTGAGAGGTTAAGATGATAGTGATGAAAAACAAAAAGCATCGTCAAAATGTTACAGAGGCGAGTGCCTCGGTTGGCCTCTTACTATCTACGGCCCTGGATTTTTCAAGCGCTTTCTGAGTCATAGGCATTTGAACATTGAAGATATAAATGAGGTGCTGGTCTTTTGGGCTCTACTKTCCTCGTAACGTTATTTTCGTTATTTTGTGTTTGGTTGAGGAAGAGATCAAATCATAGTAATATCTGAGAGCTAAAAATGCTGTTTTCCTTCTGGATGAAATCATTTTCTAAAATGTTTTTGCTGGACTATTAAAACTATACCTTGTACTAAAGTAGATTTTCCCGTCTGGGTTGATCATAACTCTCATGTTCTCTCTGGTAACTTTGTGGTATTTAGCTGATTTAACGTTCCAGAAGTATGTATCGGGAGTCCAGATGATTTGTGTGGCATCTGCTGCCATTGTAAAAGCCTTGCTCATGTTGTGGGCAAATCGTGAGTCATACCACCATTGACGGAAGAAAATATCCATTGAATACGTCTACAAAGTAGAATATTGTAATACGTACTTGCAACGCCGAAGGGGAGGTAAGTCTTGTATATTTAATTGATGGGTGGGGAGGTTTGTCCAGCTTGTCAGAGATCAAAATCATCGTCGAATCTGGTAACTTTTAAGACTAAAATAAACGCACATCTTTCGCATATTGCAACCTGCGTAAGTCATCCTTCCAAAAGCAATTGCTTAATAGCCGTATGACAGTTATGATAATCATGTTGCAAGGGTAGCTTAATCATGTTGCGTGCGATGCCTATGTACGAAAGTTGGATGTCATGGAATTCACTGGAACTTAAGTCAATAACCAGAGCTGACAAAAATCGGATTGCAGTTTGTATGTAACGTTTTTAGCATTTTTAAAAAACGAAAAATGGTCAAAAATAATAGTTAGTTTTTTTTAAGTTAGTACCTTTTGGAACCTACATTTTTAGGGGTCATTTAAAAAAACTTTCGATGAACTTCGCACGCTGGGATATATAGGATTTTTACGTCTCCGGAATATTTGCTTCAGTGAGAATACTAACAGAAATTGATCGAGAGTGCAACAGCATTGTTGGCACTGGTACTAACTGACACATGAAAATGTTGATGTAATGAAACTCAGGGTCTATTGTCCTGACGCTGGTTTTACCAAGTCTTTGAGTTTTCCACAATAAGGAAGGAATTGCAGTGACAATCAATTTTGGTGAATATTTCACTTACCATTTCAGCTTCTTTTATTTCTCCAAACGAAACAACTTTGAATTCTACTTGAACCATAACAGAAGGACCTGAGAAAAAAGAACGAAACACTGATTCCCTGATGATATTGCTAAATTTTAGATTAACTTATGGCTCTTTTAAAAAGCAATCGCATGTATATACATTTGATCCCAATCTACACGAGGTCAGAAGTCCATATGCATAATTTATTTTAATCAAACGTCAAATGTTGTTAAAATAAAAAGAACGTAATTCTGGCCTCTGGCACAAATACTGTCGTACAAATTCAGCTAAACCGAAAGTTGCATCTCGACCAATCGCGAATTGTTTCAGTTTTCGTGAACATAAGGAAGCATCAAAGTGTACTACATGAGGAATGACTATTCAGAATCATTTTCAGGAGAATTGTGACACAGAACGACTGAGAGCTATAATAAGATTCATGGTCAGTTCGACCCTTGATCCAATGTTTTGTTATAGAACTGACGTAAATGAAAACGGTAAATGAAGCCAATCACACAAACAGAATTGATCAATCACAATGCGTGATGTAGTTTAATTTGATTTTATCTAGCTCTCACGCCGCGCTGTATTTATCAGARAAATTATRAAAATCATGCCTTCTTTTGCTTTAATTTTGAAATGTTTTTAAAGATTAATTGTTTCGATTGAGATGGGAAGATTTCAACAAAAGTAGCATTCTTTTAAACTCAATTGATTGGTTCGCCCCAGGGCCTGCTGCTGATGATAACACGATGTTTTCATGACGTTGTATATCTTTTCGCATCATCTTGAAAAGACACGAGATTGCTATTCGACCACAACGGTTAGTGACATTGRTTCTTTTCTTTAGAAGCAAAATTATACGGAAAACATCATTTAAGAAAGTCTAAGAAAAGTGAAATGCGTTTTCATAGCATTTTTTTGTAGTTGGATGCAAGKTTTCTTCTCCTCTACAGACAACACATTACTTAGAAGACTTCGCGAGSWAAGARCTGGAAAACCAAGTAAGATTGGAATTTATGAATTTATATGTTTATTTTGGGTCATGCTTTTCTATTTAGTAATGAAAGCTGTTTTAATTAAAAGCTGCCTTGAATCCTAGTATACAACTGATCGCTGTATACTTTCAGGTCAAAAAATACAAGAGATTTGAACTCAAGTACATTGGGATCGGCTATAATTTTTGTCTATTTTTTGAGAAAATTTCATTCAATTAGTTTAGATAATTTTTCGAATTTTGGCTTCAACCTCTAGTGATCTCCCTTAAATACATCAATAAAACAATGCCAAGCAGCATAATTACAGTAACTCAGATTTTTGCGTGGTTCTGAGCATGTAGAACCGGAGCTATTCAATCAACAGCAAGGTGTTAGTTTTTTTTATAAACGATATGTGTTCTTCTTCTCTTCAGTCAAATGCGATAATTTCTTTTAACATCTGCTGGTGTTCAGGAGCTTTCAACAATCAGATATGCCCTTTGGACATAAAGGGAAAAAAGGGTCTTTTTTAAGTATAGCAATTAACCCACTAATGGCGATCATTTTTTTATTTCTTCCATTTCCTTTAGAAGTTTTATAACTGATTTAAATTTATGCATCMCGGATAACGTTAAAATATTAATCCATTGACAAAAAACAAYGATTTAAGTYTTTCTAGACATTTTTGGTTTGCAATATTTTCGATACCAATGGAAATCCAGCGAAATACAGTATGTTTCACTTTGTATATGTTTCCTGTTTATCGAAACAATTTTGACTCAGAAAACTTGTAGGGCAAAAATGCAAAATATAACGAAACATCTTAATAGCAAGGAGATGAATAATATATGGCAATGAGATTTACGCATGGAAAACATAAAAGTCATGAAATTTACCAAAACTGAACATTGAATTTGATGATAAAACGTTTGAAGAAGCGATGGTCCATTTAACTTAGCATTAGTGCACACGATTAGCCGCTTATCGTATTTATGCTATCTTCACCTGGAAAGGCTGATGATATTTGAAGGTAATTAAGTTATAACATTTGTAAATAGCGTAGAGTGTTGCTGGGTGACGAGCAGTTTCGGAAAGGTTAATGTGACACGCAGAAAAAAATTGCTGATAACTTGACTTTTGAATCTGACTATAAAACACGAAGTGCAAATAACTATCAATGTGTGTTTTGRTAATTGATTTTCTTAAACATTTWWAAAAATGATCGACATATATACAGACCAAAATTTGTGTAATGAGGTCCGCCGAATGGAAAAATAAAAGGTTAAATAATATATAGAGTGAAATAGCTAACACTTTAGGTTTGAATTACTTCATTTAATTTGCTCTTTTAACATGAAAATTGCTTGAATCCAGGATAAGTGTTCATTAAGAGAAAAATAACCTAAATTGCCAGTTCCATTACGGYAAATCGCTCAATTAAGGTCAAATTAAAACGCTTTTTCTTGCGCGTTTTGGTCATGCAMCAATAACATAGTTAAACTGCTTTCAGAAGGAACAATTGAGAATTTAATAATAATCACTCTGTTTCGCAGTTGTGGTGTGTAATGCTGGAAACTAAACTGAGAAGCGCTATTAATCATTGGATTGAACTCCGATTAACAAATCATACATAGTTCATACACATAGAACACACCATTAATGGAAGATCAAAGAATCTCTCCCAGATACAAGAGCGCGGGGGCATGGAAGACGCATGCTATGTTTTGGATGTTTTGTAAGCTGTTCAGAATATTTAGAATGACATACCTCCAGCGTTAGGTCGTACTTTCTTGTCATGAGCCTTAATGGCGTGGTTGATAAAGTCTGATAGATTCTTTGCTTCCTCCATGGACTCTGCATACTCTTCCAGTGATTCACTAACGGACGCAACAAAAGAAAGAMATTCTAAGTATGGGTATCTTCAGAATTGAGTTCGTCTATCCTATATAAAAGTTTTTTTTGCCATTTTACGATCAAAAGTTCTTTTTAGGGTACCAAGGTATTTTCCAACGCTAGAATTCAGCATTGAACTGAGAATAAGTTTGCATTGAATTCAACACATGTGAAGTTTGGTGTTTGAAGTGGATCTTAAACGATCAGTGTCTTTTTTGYTTCGAATTTTGTTTTGAGTCCTGCGATTTGTTAGTATCCAAGTCGGCACTAATCAGTGTTTGAAAAAAGGGGACTTTTGATGGATCGTTCTTAATAAGGTCCTCCCTCTCAGGGTTGGAAGGATATTGATAGYTACCAAAATAACTCCAGTCCAAATTGCTTATCAAAACGTTGATGTGGAAGTGGCAAAAATCGCTTTCGTTTTAAAATGAATCTTGACAAAGTTTAACATGTTTTTACTAACCCCACTTGTGCTTTGGTTGCACAAAAGTAATTGATGTTCAATAGAAGGAGGATCGTCAACAGGCGATATTCCATCCTATGGCTGATACTCAAATAATCCTAAGAAAATACAAACAACAATAGGTATTATAACATGATGAAAATAAGGTGTTAAGGGTTGTGAAAATCAGTGATAAGTCTGGACTTAACTATTACATAGAGAATGTAAACATTTGAAATTGCGTCGATCCTCGCCGCGGCAGATTTTCTACAATTTCCATTGATTATTATTTATTCAACAGACAGGTTTAGACCTGCAGTAGTTCATTTATCAAATTGTAAAGAGGAAATAATGAAAGAGACAAAAGAGGATTAATAGCAAGAGTATATTTTTGAGCACTGTGTAACTCAAAACAAGTCTTTGATAGAACAAAGCAAATCTTCAACGGTTAACACTGAACAACTTAGTACACATAACTATTTTATATTCTGCTTAGATTAAGTTTTGCTATTTGCATATCTTGTTTGTTCATTGTTTTCGCCACCAATAAACTCGTTAAAGATAAAGTTTACAAACAAATAAAAGTTTTGAAACATTTTGGAAGCAATAAACACAAATTTCACACTCCCAATATCGCCATGTAGTTGTAATGTTCAGTTTTAGYTCTTGACTTGAATTCCGATAAAGATTGWTTTTACTTATTTAAAAAGATATTATAAACCGAATTTAATCATTGTTTTCGATAACACACCATATTCGATGGAAATATATACTTTCAAAACAAACTGATTGCAAAGAGAAAATTAGTCTTGTGATATTTCAGAATTTAGGCGCCTTTTTCGAATCACTCAAATTATGTTGATATTCAATCAAAAGGGCAGCAGTAAACTTTCAGCTAATTCATACCTGAAGATTATTTTCCTTGTTATCCAGGATCGAGTTATCGTACCGAGTTATTTTAGGCCACAAATATATGCTTTTCTTTCCGCCTTGGTGCATGGAAAAAACACCAATGGTTTGTTCTTAGTTCTTATTGGCTTATTTAACTTGTTACTTTGCTGCCATTGAACAGCTTATATTAGCCTTAAAATACCCTTGTAAAAGAGGTGTTAATTGTTTTATGCAGGCGCGTCCAACTTGAATTATCTTTCGGCCTCCTTAAAATGTGAATGAACAACCTCATTAGATCAATACAAATATGACATGTGTGAATAGAAACAATAATCTAACTTTCACAAAATGCAGTAATTGCATCGATACTGGCCATCTCGTCTCGAACAAGTACAGCTTTAATTGACAATACAGTCGTCATGGTTACGTGAAATGCGCTGTGGCCTATCCTCAATCACACTAAACGTTTTAATGAATACATGGGGGATGTTTAAAGATGATTTTACTCAAAAATATGTTTAAATTGGAAGTTGCAGGCATCCATTTCGCTCCTGATCAGTAGAAAAGCTGATCCAGAAAATGTCAGGACCTTAGACATCGCCACACAAATTTKTTTGCTATCGTATTTGCAGTCAAGTTAGTTCTCTTGATAACAGACAACACGACAATCGTTCAACGAAATGCATCACTGATTGTGATGCAGAATGTGAAAGAACAATGCAAATATCCCCTCATGAACATTGTAAACACCAATATTAATACTAAATATGGATTGGTGTTCATACTAATCTTCGAATCGTCCCGATTGGACCAAAACGCGCTTTTCCTGGTTCTAACTTCATTCATTATTAACAATGCAAAAACGAGTGTTTTGGTACGATAGGGACCGTTCAAAGATTACATGGAAACTACGCCTTACACCTAATGTCCAAAAAATCGATTAAATCGTCCCATCTCCCAAAAACGCGTCTTTCCATTGTTGTTTTTAAACCCCTTGAGGACTCTAGAACAAGTTGAAAACGTTATTGGSTCGATCATACAAAACCGTTTAAAGAATAACCTGTGCAAAATTCATTACGTTTAGGCGTATGTATTTTGGAACGGATAACACCGAGAAAAAGGCATTTTCAATTTGGACTTTTGCGTCATCGGATCGTGYAGATCGTCTATTCTGATAATTCAATACACGCAATAATTTGGGCAAGGCAATCATAACGAAAACCAATGATCCAAACCACAACGCAATATAACTGAGATTCCCAGAGAGTTTAACATGACCACAATGCTTTACATTCTCACGTAACTTTTTGGATTGATCTACAATGACATTGTTTCGACMTGCAATCACCACAGAACATTTTTGTACGAAGGAAAGTATGCCTTGATCATAAAATCATTAAAATTCTTTTACTGCCTCTAGATACTGCTTGGTATATATTTGCACGCTTTTCTCAGTCTAGTCGAAATTACTTCAAATATTACTATTCATTTGAATTTGTTGTATATGAACTTTGTTTTTGAAAAAGAAGATTGGAATATTGTAAACAAGGTTCAAATTACCTTTTTTACAATCATGTGGTTATATTGTTATTTGACTGGGTAAAATAACCGTTCCACATGTTGTTCCATAAGAAATTAGCATAGGTGTATATCGTGTCTTATAACCTTTATAACTTCCCTTTGTTGAAACATCAACATTTAACAGCTTCCCTTTGTTGAAACATCAAAAATAAAGCAGGGTAAAATTACTTGTCCCAGAAGATCGCTCATTTGAATTCTGCAACAGTTGAATTTCTGTTCGTGCCGGAACAGGCTAGGTTTAGCACCTTAAAGACACTATATTTTAATTTTATTATGCAATTCTAGTCGAAAGGGATTAAAATTACTGTGCAAAAATATTCGTTAGACACCATGTTTTGCAGGTTGTTCTTGAACGATTTTTTCTAACGAGTAACAGGCCAGGACCATAGGCTGGGGGGTCGGACGAACCCCCTCCCCCCCCCCTTCCACAAGCTTAAAAGGTCCGGTGTTTCTCTTTTTTTATTGTTMTATTTTAAAATTATTTTGTTATAAACTGTTCTTGAGATAGTAATAATTTGTATGAGTGGAGTCTTCACGTCAAGGATTGTTTGACTCCAAACTTATGCTCTAAAGCTTCAAACTCTAGAGTTCAATATAAACAATAAGCTTCCACAGTATAAAAGCTTCCAGAAGTTTCAGCAGTACAATAAACATTAAAAATCATCAAATTTTCATGTCAGTCTAGACGTATGAATCAACATGCTATCAAGGTAGTCCGCGTGATTATAGCCTGAATCTTTGCCAAAACTACCCATTTTACACATGTAAAGCACACAGAAATCATTTTGAGGAAAAAATATAGACATTTCATATTCTTATAACTTTGACCCATGGAGAAGAGATTTGCGTTTYTATGGAAATATATGTAGTGGCAAATGTTTTCGCTCTCTGATGTTTTAGTAGGGTTGCATGTCCTTCTCCACTATGCACATGTAAACCGTTCAAATTTGTACTGATTTGATTGAAATGGGGTTTAAAATGCTCACTTAAAGTAACTTAGCTGCTTTAGCTTGTGATTATATTGTAGACATTGTAATCATGCATTTATAAATACATATTTTTCCCSCCAATATATCAAATCGAAAGTTTGTTGTTGTTGAAATAATTTTCGGATTAAATCGTATTTCTATAATTTTTCTGTTACCATGTCGATATGATCCAGTAAAGACCTTAACATATAAACTTTTAATTTTTCTGTATGCCAAAAGTCTCCAATAATATAATTGCTACCAATTTCACTAAATTTCATTTTTTTAACCCGTTTAAATGAGCTCGAGCAAGTTGTTTTCCATAAAATTGAAGGAGGCGCTTCGCACTCGTAAAACCACAATATTGTGATATGTGGTTTCACTAATTAACTGCTTTGATGGACAGAAAAGCTTTGTGGTGAGTGTGGACAAAGGGAAGTGGGAAAATGTGATTGAGAAGAATCAAGRAAAAACTGTGTGTTGAAGTTGCTATGACAAGAAATGAATACATTATTTTAATAAATGTTTACGGTGATAACATCAGATACCGTAGGCCAATATAAAATAATAATAGTGTAAAATTTTAAAAGCTTTGATTTTTAAAACTTAAGTTTCAAGAGGGTTGCTATTATATTGTTGAATGTAAGCAAAATTTACGATATTGAACAAAATTTATGTGATTGGCTAACAAGTGAAAGGGTGTTGAGTTTCGAGTTGTATAGTTAAAATTCTGAAACAATRCTGCTATAAAGAAAYGAAACAATCTACCAATTTTAAACATTTTTGATTGAAACACTGTGCATTGAAACGTTTAGCTGGTTAGCCTTAGGCTTAAGTTCAGTACAGTGATGCACATATCAATTTCAACAACCATGGGATTCATGTAGCGATTCATATTGAAAACAAGCAAAAAATATCACACTCTAAACACGTTTTCAAATGGTCGAATAAACAGTTTCTTCCAGTCTGATGCTTAAGAACTTTATTCTGGAAGATTTGGATTGATAAGGTCTAAAAGATGCTTGTTTTCTTTCTTTTTGGATGTCCGAAATGGGAAGGATTTTCAGGTTGAACAGGTGTTGGCATTTAATAGTTTTTACGTTGAAGGACAAAGTGTTAGAAGAGTTCACAACTTGTCAATAAACATAGCATAAACAATTCTAAACAAAGCTATTTCTTTTGAATTTAACCCAAAATCCGTGAAAAGTTATAATGAATTGCCAATTGAAGATACAAATACTTCTAGAAAAAGRTAACTTTCATCGAGCAGYAGCGCCAAGTATCTCATTTTGTCGTGGTATAACAAAATCAACGTTTCACTTTAAATTGTCGAACATGTCAGCAATTAAAACAAACCGAATTTTTGGCAATATTAACTTAACAGTGATTTAAGTTTCCTTCTTTAACGGAAGCTATCATGAACTCATTGAAACAGCAAATACCCATTATCAGATGGTTTAAATTATGTTTACACGTTGAATATTCAAGGCGAACTATGTTATCTTTAATAATTCATTGCTAACCGGCTTACAATAATAAAAAAACCCGAAAATAAACAAAACAAACTTATTCGATTGAATGTTCTGGAATTTGCCATTCCAAGTGAAACGAAGCAATCTTGCCTTTAGCTCCTACAAGGTCGACGCTATTCGCTTATACAAGGGTATTGGTTTCCTTTCCTTGCCTTCGTATTTCAGCTGCAGCAAATCTCAGAATAAACATTGTCCATCCCCATGAATTATAATTCCGACGCCTTCTGCTACCACAACATGTTATTTCTCATCTAAGTATTTTTTTCGATATTTTGTGTCATGAGACTTTTCCAAATACATTTACTGTATCTATTGTCGCYCAGTTTTGAATCGACTACTGCTTTTCTCATGGATTTGGACAAAAAAAAACCCTATCTTCATCATCATTGTTTTTCATAACTTTTTTCGAGTTTTGTCGTTGTCGTGTTAATAAAGCTAACGTAAACATATATGAAAACGATTTTTTGAAATAATATGTTGCAAGTTTGCATGAAAAAACAGAATTAACTTTGTTATTTTGAATACTAATTCCAGTAATTCATGAAATATTCCTTGTCGTAAAAGAATTTTTTACATATGTACCTTGGCGTTCCTATCCGCTAATTACTTTCAAGGAAGTCCCATTTTCACCATTTTCAACTTGTCTAACGTACGGCTCGAAGCTCATCTTCTGTTTGCTATAACAACACTTCGATAGCCACAATAGATCCATCAAAAGAATCGAGCTCGTTTGAATTAAATTATTTAAGCGTCCATAGAATCGTCAGTTAGAGAACCTCCATCTGGCTTTAAAAGTCGAAATATGAATACATAACAGATTCTGGTGTTAAATCTCAGTCATGAGTTCCTGGCGCCTTCGATATTGGCAAGCACGTTAAAAGGCCTCACAACAAAACTGGCAAAAAAGGGCGAAATTTACACCTTCAGTAACATAAAAAAACGACTCGATGCATTAATTAATGAAATTTTTTGTGCCCAAGTTTTTCTTTCTTGCTTTAACTGGGGATAAAGTTAGGTAATCAGAGTCCCGTTGACAAGTACCAGAAATATTATTTTGAATACGTTCAAACAGCGCGACAGAGAAAAAATCCTACAGATTTAAGGATTTGAATAGACCTACCCGTGAAATATTCTCCTAGCACTAGGAATTAGGTAAAGGTGAGCTGACCTGCAGTATTTGTGCTATCATACCAAATCAAAACCAAAATAATAATTTCAATAGTGAACTCTGTTCGCTTAAAAAAGGTCGTCGTGTTTTTAACATGGAGAGAGAAACATCTCCTATAGTCTGGCATTGATAAAGACGATGCTTTATCAAGATTGTTACCTGTAATTTTCTTTTAAGTCAAAATAGTCCCAAAGACATACCACTTATCACTGTTACTTGCATCTGAGTTACCCGTCCCACAATTGCAAAGCTTTAAATCTTTCAGTACTTTGAGAGACACAAAGAATTCTGCTGCTCAATACTCGTCACTAATTCGACATRAATAAAACAGAAACCGAACCGAAGCAGTTTGAGTTCGCAGCTACACGGAGACTGTTTGTGGTTCCTTGTGATGCATAATAACCGGTAGGGGTTGCATAGCGTGAGGCAAAGATAGCTAAGCTGACGATTTAACCCTCGTTTTGCGCATGTCAGAATTCGCTGTCATAATTTCAACAAATATCAACAAATAAGAAAATAAATATAATGGGAAACTTCTATGAAAAAAAAATGTCTTTGCAAACTTTGACAGGTTAATGAATGTGGTAAGATATTTGATAATTGCTTTGCTGTTGTTGTGATTTTGTTTTTCTTATTCAAATTTTGCGATGCGCAAGGTAAAACCACAAGCTTGTATACACAGTTGGGCCACTTTTTTTCATTTGGCATCCATTGCTTAAAGTTCCACAATTCAACCATAAAAATTTACTTTTCTCCAAACATCCATTTATTTTCAAGATAGACAAAACATGTTTAGTTCTTTGCGGAAAACAGCATATCTAAATATATCTTATTTTCCTAAGGCAATAAAATTGAAATACGATTAAARAGTCCTGTTTAATGATTTTGTTAACTGAAGACCAATAATTTCGTACACTTAAGGGTAAGCATGATAATATCTAAACCGAAATAAAAGAATACATATTTAAAATCATAATTGGGTAAATATTTACGTTCAATTAATAGTTTGTTATTAACGAGTAATTTCATGGGTGCAATCGAATGTCGAATAGACCAATTATCTTGAAATCCACCCTCGCCAATTTAAAAAAACTTTATGCACGTACGAGAGAATACGTGATAAAGTGCAGTTTAAATGAATTGGCAAATTTTCGCGGATTGCCGAATACAGTTTCAATACCCAAATTTTTTAACCGTTATTGTAACACCTCTATGAAATTCCCGTTCCTGATTGGCTGAAAAATAAGGAAAGAATTAATTGCACAGCAATTAACGTGCATCGTACAGGTAGACCTAGCATGTTATCGTTTTTCAAAATTCATTCTTTATGTACATGCGATATTAAAAGCAAATCCCACCTTTGTTCTAGAAGAATCAATCATTTGTATTCTATACAATTGATTCAGTACCACCCGTGCCYCGCGCTATGCATTAATGGAAATACCCTCTATTCATCATATTCGGCCCTTATTTTTTTTACCGATTCCTCTTGAAGGATAGCATATCCCATATTACATTATATATATCTAATGGTTGGGTTATTGGTTTGGGCTTTTTGTTTACTGTTATACTTTCCGTGTTAGGACTTTCGTCTGGTGGTTTATTTGTTATTGAATAATTATGTCCCAAGAAATAATCTAAATGGGATTGGCGCGTTAACTTACTTATTAATATATAATCAGTGTGGAACTGCTCAGCGTTACATGTATATACAAAACCTCTAACATGACATTCGCTCAAAGATCGTATAGRAACCGTTTGTAATAAGTAGAGGACTATATGTTATTGTCCGACGTTTATGAAGATGTTGTTATCCCGTTGCTATCAAATAAAGTGAAATTGTATGATGGCAATTTTGATGCTCTTCACTTTATATAAAAAAACAAGCAAAGCAAACAAAACAAACATTACCAAGACAATAAAAACAAACAAGCACACAAAATAAAACAGCAACAATAATTAAACCAGCAATAACAACAACAACAACAAATGCCATTCAGTGYACATTGATTCATTTCCAAACCATGTGAATTCGAAAAGTAGGAATACTGACTATATAGAGAAACTGCCTATTTCAAAAGACACTATAAATACTAGGATGAAATGCTGGCATCAAAGGCCCTTAATGTTCAAGACCGATAAATACACGATAGGCACTCTCCAGTGCTGTCTGCTGACCATTTTACATCAGTGATGACAATATTGAGAAACATTATAAACATTATGAGATACAAATCAGMAAATAATCACCAAAAYTTGTTGAAAACACAACTATGTGCGCATGCTTCAGAATTCTCTGTAGGAAATCATTATCGGAACGTTTTTATTGGAATACAGTAGATTTGATCACTTTACAAAATCTCCTCACACATTGACATTAAGCAATTAGCCAATCACATTTTACTTTCAATGTACAAACCTGCGAAAAGTTTGCCTTTTGCCAAAATTAAGTTTATTTTGATGTGAAAACTCATTCAAAGCTGTTCAAAAGATTTAAAGGAAATGCTCTTTTCAWCCAAGTTCTGAAATTCAATGGTTGCTTTAAACTGCTGTAATCATTGCAAAAACTAATAATTGGCCAAATTTGTTAGATGAATTTTACAATTATTAGATGCTTGGAGTTCTTATCGACAATGAAAAATATCTTGAGAAGGAACACCACCACTGCAACGTGAAAAGACAGCGCTCAATTCATTGCACTTGGCTGGCTTTAAAGTGAAGCAGGTAGGATTTTAAACGAAGCTAAACGCKTTATAAGAAAACAATGTCAAATTGAAACAGTATCAATCAAATTGTCTGCAGTTTTTATAAGTTGGCAATCTYTTTAGACTTTGCCTTCATCACAAATTCACGACGCATGATATCGCATTCAAATTTGTCTGTTTTTCTTTTCTTAATCTCCGGAGGCCAATGTTTATGCCAACACTTGACCTTTTTTTAAGAAAGATGGATCCTTTTCAAATTCCGATATGAATTCCACTAACAATGCGGCACTCACGTTAATAATGAATTTGAAGGTCATGTTTCATGCTTTTATGCCATCTTATACAAACACAGCTGCTCCTGCAGTGCAGCCTACATTGAAAACTAAAGAACAATATTATTGTTGCTTGACGCATGCCCAAAAATATTCTATGTATTACACACTTGTCTTTGAAAGCACATGCGCCTCAAATTAAGCCTAGTCMACAGGCATTTCCGTGCATTCCGCGACGTCACTCGATACGAGAAGGAACATGTGGGTGAAAAAACTGAGTAGACTTTTTTCGACGGCTTTTGAACTAAAATACCACGTTCAGCATACTCGCAGGCTCTTCCCATGATGTCACTCGAGAGAAAGAACGCCTTTGGGTAGAATTCATGGTTCTGACAAATCAAGCGCGAGGGTGCGATTAGCCGATCAGAATGTCCGCACATTTTGATCCACTTCAAGCATWTTTGTATAGTTTTTGACTTGTGGAACAGAGCTCAGCTGCTTTACAAGTGCCCCAGCAACACCTCAAAACCATCTCAACTTCGCCCTCTGATCCGACTTTGTGACCTGGCCTGCATTACACAGGCAGCCTAATTATTTAGTTGGGAATAATTGAGAAAACCAATGATCTTCAATCTTCTGGAGTAACATCAGTTTTTTGTTTTACGAGAGAGCTTTGTAGAATTTATAGAAAAGGCTTGCGTCACAATAAAGTTTTCCTATAAACTATAAAAAAACATTCGAGATCTGTACAAGTGCGATCAGYCCCGCGAAATCTGACACATCCGCTAAGTTTTAGTTTCCTTGATTTCCATGCTATCCTCACACGTCACTCTACATAACAGTATGTAGAGGAATGTTGTCTAATAAAGTATATGCATAAAGAGGTTTATATCGTCTGTAACAAGAATACATCAACAATGAGTAAAGTGAAGGGGAGCTTATTGTGAAGTCCAAATCAAAACACTTTTTGGAATATTCGAAGTTSCTTATAACAACATCCCTTCACAAGTCAAAGCGATTTATTGTTTTCTTGATATATAATAACAAAGTCTTATTTGGTCACGATGAAGTATCCTTATAAACTATACAAAATAATCGAGACCTAGACAAGTGCCTCGCCGAATTTAACCTATTCACTAAATCTATAGTTTGTCTGGTTTTTAAAACTAATTGCAAGCTATCCTCCCGATCAGGGGGAGGAATAGAAAGTAATTCGCCCGCAGCTGTTTCAGTAGAGATGGTGACTAGTCAAGTATGTGCAGGATCAACAATAAGTAGATTCAACCCTTTTAACTCACCTTTTCATGCAATAAAAGTAGTAGTTATGATGGTCTGGCTTGAYTAATCATGATTGGTGGCCGACGATTCAAATATGGGGCCAATATTATCATCAATTTTTTTTAGCGCCATTTAAAGCTGGGATTAAATTCGATATGCGTGATCACAGAATGCTAACAAGCATTGCTCGGCGATCCGGCTTTTTCACCTTGTTGGCGCCTTGTTTGAAATTGTAGGTGCTGMTTGATATCAAACATGCTGGGTGTTTGAAGTCTTTGCGCTTTCCTTTACAAAACTTTGTGATGATGGCACAAAATATCGTTGCTTGGTGATGTTCGGTGTTTAAACGTCCGTCTTTAATAATTCAAGTATATGTTTTCCCTTACATCGAAAGAATATCTCCAAAGTGTGCGCTCTCAATAGATGAAACAACACCTGCCTATCAGTGTGTACCTAAAAGCCTCGTAGAAGTCTGAACCAGTCTTTCTAA